ATTAATTGGCTACAGTGATGCAGATTGGGCAGCAGATGTTGACACTCGAAGATCAACATCAGGCTATGTGTTTCAAATTGGAAGTGGCACAGTCAGTTGGTCAAGCAGGAAACAAGCAACAGTTGCCAAGTCCTCTACTGAAGCTGAATATGCTGCTTTGAGTTCAGCTACACTGGAAGCTGTATGGCTACGCCGTTTAATGGAAGATCTTGGAAGACAGAAAGATGCCCCGCCTACCGTCTACGAAGACAACCAGGGAGCCATTGAACTGGCAAAGAACGCCAAATACCATAACCGAACTAAACACATTGACATTTGTCATCATTTTGTTCGCGAAAGAGTTTTTTTCCAATGAAATTCAAGTGATTTATTGTCCTACTGGGGACATGATTGCAGACATCATGACAAAAGCACTTGTGAAACTTGCCTTTGAGAAACTGAGAGATTTATTAGGCGTGCATGATATTATGTGATTACCCTTGTTAAGCTTTAGGATTCTGAGTGGATCATTATTTTACCATACAGCATAGTTATCAAGTGAAAATGTTGAGATAATTATGATAATGTATGCTGTATAATGGACTATTATTACTGGTTGAGTTGAGTTCACATGACATAATAAGTTTGTTATCTTCGCATCTCCTCGTGTACCAGGTTGTTCTGTTGTCGATTCGCTATGTGATAGTTGGTCATTAAAGGTGTCCTAAAAGTATTGCCCAAGTTGTAGTGATGTAAACAGATCCTTTATCAGGGGGGACAGAACCTTGCGGTTGGCATGGGAAGTGACTTTGATTTGCATGACCTTTAAGAGGCTGTCTCTGTAAGAACCGACCACTGATTTTACTTCGAAAATTTGATTTTTCTCATATGCTGGGATTTCGAAGACCTTACCTAGTCAATCACTAAAATGAGTTTTATTTCATTAAAAATTCCAGTTGAAGTTTTCTTGGATTGATTGAAGTTCGGTCCGCTCGACACAAGTTTCATGCCCGCTGAAACTGGAAAAATAGCACATATTGCCGGCGCTCTAAAAAAAATATTTAATATTTTTTCAACTATAGATATATCATAGCAGTTTGTTCAGCCATGTTGCAATTATAATTCAATGTTGTTCCT